ACCCCCACCCCGACCACCCAAGTCTTCAGTGTCAGAAGCTGATATGGGAGCGATGGATGCTAGGAGGGCAGCCTGCAGGAGTTTGACCCTGGGACTGAAGTTCCCGGCAGCCCTAGGGGCCCAAGACAGCTCCATCCCCAGAAGGGATAGGGGCCCTCTGGGCAAAGCCTGGGGGGAGGCTTCAGCTACAAACCCTTCCACTCCCTCTCCTTTCCAACTCAGCTGGCCTCCCACCCTGTAGGGGGCTGCTGCCACTTGCCCCCAGCTTAGTTCCTCATTCATTTCAAAACACTCCGAGCACCTCTTCAGGGAGGGGCGTTGCGGAGGCTGCAGGTCTATTTAGACTGGATTGAAAAGAAAGCACTAGAAATGATGGCGCTTTGTAGCTTGAGCCTGGTGGCTTCTTAAACAACGTGCCCTGAAATCCTGAGGGCTTTGCTGTTTACTTACTCTTTGCTTAATTTAGTCTGGGCCATGTGACCTCCGGGGTCGTGCCAGCGATTCGTGAAGGGTGGTTTTCTAGACTTCACTGGAGCTGCTCCTGCCTGCGTGACCTGGTTTAGTGCCGGGTGGGGTGGCACCGGCTGTGTCTGGCCTCTGTGGAAGCAGCAGGCGAAGCCAGAATCCTCTCATCTTCTGCTGTGTGCCCCCAGGGACTGACCTCTGAGCAACTCTGCTCAGTCCCTCAGTCCCTCAGATGTTACAGGTGCCCAACTACATTGGCAGGGCACTTTACAGTTAGCAAACCACAGAAATGAAGTTTCTCTCCCACCTTCTACCTCTCTTCCATGAACCTTCAAGACCCTTGCCACCCACTGATCACAGCACAGGAACCACCTAATGTAGAGGACAAGTCTCTCTGGTACACACTCACATCACACACACACATAATCACATACACACTCATACACATACACAGTCACACTCACACACATACACAGTGACACACACACACAGTGTCAAAGGCAAGGGACACTTCCAAGAGCCAGCACGACCCAAAGAAGTCCCTGATGGGACTGAAGGCAGCCGCGGCCCCATGGAGCCCAACACCGCCTGCCTGGGCTCCTCCTGCCAGTTCCAAGGCCTCCCTTCCCTGAAGGGCCCGGCTCAGCTTACCAGATGAAAGGCCTGCTTTTCACAAAGAGGCCTCTCTGGGAGTCAGCGTGTCTTTGGAAAGTGCTCTGAGACGAAGACGATTTGGGGAGAGAGGCTGGGCTGCTCACCAGAGGGTGGGGGAGCCTTTCCCCACTGAGCTGCTTCTCCTCCTCCTTCCCTGGGCCCCTGTCTCATCCCACCCCTCTCTGCTCTGGGGGATTCTAAACATCCAAGTCACCCAGTGCAGGCAGCTAGGGGACTGCAGAGGGACCGGAAGGATCAGAAAGGTGAGGTGGCGGAGGGGAGCAAAGAGGAGGGACATGTGGACCTAGGCTGTGTCTGCAGTGCCTTGACAGTAGAAGGAAGCACCAGACACACATCCCACACACGTGACCGAGGCACGACCCTAGCCCTGGTGTCACTCCGCTGCACCTCAGCTCAGCCAAAGGTCCCCTGCAGCCTGCCATTCAACGCTGCCGTGAGCTCATTCCCCCACTCCACCCTGGTGGCAGACTGGCCTCATCCTAGTGACCTGTTTCTTAGACACCCCTAACCACACCCAAGCCAGCATCATGACCTGGGAGGCCTCTGGGAAGGGTGGGCCTGAGGCCAGGTGTCCCCATGAGCAGCTGTTACGCTCACGCTCTCTCCCAGATCCAGTGCCAGACCTAGGTGGCAGGCTTGTGAACTCAGGGCCTTTCTGGTGCCTGCATCCTCTCTCCCCTTGGGGCTGACGTCTGATCCCGGCTTCCGGGTCTGATCTGGGGGGAGCTGCGTTTATCATCAGCAGAGGGTTTTCCTTCTGGCCGCAGAGACCAGGTTCCCTGCCCAAGGGCCTTCGGGACCTTGGTTTGAGCAGCGTGACTCTCAGGAAGGAGCTTGCCATCTGTCTTAGTCATCTACTGCTGCTCTAACAGAAATACCATGAGTAAATGGCTTTAGCAAAGAGAAGTTGACTCTCTCACAGTCCAGTAGGCTACAAGTCCAAATTCAGGGTTTCTCCATCAGCTCTGGAGGAAGGTCTGTGTCATCAGTCTTCCCTTGGTCTGGAAGCTTCTCTGCGCAGGAACCTCAGGTCCAAAGGACGCACTCTGCTCCCGGGACTGTTTTCTTGGTGGTATGAGGTTCCCATGTGTCTCTGCTCACTTCTCTCTTTTATATCTCAAAACAGATTGCATTAAGACACTATCTAATCTTATCAACCTCATCACTATAACCTCATCACAGTGATAGAATTTACAACACATAAGGAGATCACATATAATCTCATCATAGTGATAGAGTTTACAACACATAAGGAAATCACATCAGATTACACAATCATACAACACTGGGAATCATGACCCAGCCAAGCTGACAGATATTTTTGGGGGACACAACTCAATCCATGACACCATCGTATCCCTTTGTTCCTCTCTTCCTGATACAGGGGAGAGTTTGGGGAGAGGACCCCAAGCTGAGCCTTAGGTACTTACCTTGGCTTTTTAAAGGGTATCATGTGGGAGCTTTGCCACCTTGTTTCCTGCTTCTCTCTGCCACTAACCAGCTGTGTGACCTTGGACAAGTCACATACCTCTCTGGACTGGCAGGTGTTTGTGTTGGTCCTGCACTCTGGACATGAGTTGGGGGCCTCACTTTCCCTTGGGACCAGCTGTTTCTCACTGATGATATAATGGATATGAAGTAGGGCCATAAGGTGTTTGTCTCCTGGAAAAAGAAAGATGTATAATAATAATATCCGTACCTACTATGTACCAGGCACCGTACCATGTGCCAGCATCCTGCTAAGTACGCACTTTAGTGTTGCCATCAAATCAGCTCTGACTCATGGCAACCTTATGTATAACAATAAAATGTTGCCCAGTCCTGAGCCATCCTCATGCTCTTGGTATGTTTGAGCCCGTTGTTGCAGCTCTTGTGTGAGTCCATCTCATGGAAGGTTTCCCTCGTTTTCACGGATCCTCCACTTTACCAAACACGGTGTTCTTTTCTAGCGATTGGTCTCTTCTGACGACGTGTCCAAAGGAAGCAAGATAAAATCTCACCATCCTAACTGCTAAGGAACATTCTGGTTGTGTTTCTTTAGTAACACGTTAGTCGTTTTAGTTTATTTAAGCCTCACAACATCCCTAGGAGGGACAGAGTATTTTCATCCACATTTTGCAGCTAAAGAAACAGAGTCAGAAGTTAAATGAAGTGTCCGAGGTCTGGGTGGCTGCAGGGACGGTGTTCTTGATGATGAGGCTTGACAGCTCTTTTCAGCTTAGTCTTTGAGCCTTGGAGCTAGAAGTTACCTTAAAGATAACCCTTCTAGGAAATGGACAGTGATGATAGTTGCACATAGTGAACGTAATTAATGTCACTGAATTGTACACATAAAAAATGTTGAAATGGCAAATGTTTTATTATATATTTTTTTACTACAATACCAAAAAACCCATCGCTGTCAAGTCAATTCTGACTCATAGCGACCCTATAGGATGGCGTGGAACTGCCCCGTAGGGTTTCTGAGGCTGTAATCTTCACCGGAGCAGACTGCCACATCTTTCTCCCACGGAGCGGCTGGTGGGTTTGAACTGCTGACCTTTCGGTTAGCAGCCGAGCACTTAACCACTGTGCCACCAGGGCTCCTCTTTTATCACAATAAAAAAATTGAGATAGGCCTCAGCATGGGTTCATAAGTGGGGAAACTGAGGCACAGAGAAGGAAGTGAGCTGTGAGGGGTCTTGCAGTGGCAGGAGGACCCAGAACCCAGGGCCCTGCTGTCGCATGGACCCCATGAGCACCTCCCCAGGATCAGTCTGGCTCTCCTGCCCTGGCCCCAGAGCTGAGAATGCCCCCTTTGTGCCAGCGTGGTCTCTGTGATATGCAGGCCTCTGTGTCTGAAAGCTCTGATTGTCACAGTGAGAGTAGAGCTGCGGAGTCCACCCCCCACCCCCATCCCTTCCCGCTGTGGGGCCTTTGTGCTCCCGGATCTCAGCACAACAGCCAGGCTGTTGATGCAGAAAGCTCAGTGTGACTGGGAGAGGGTGGCCTGCCAGTGCCCTTCCAGTGGGGAATTGTTGCAGCTGAGCTGCCAGAGTGGACCACATTGCCTGCGGGCTGGAGCGCTGCAGAGACGTGGGAAGAGGCCCAGCCAGGGGGTCAAAGCCTGAGTTCCAGGCCATGCTGGGCCCTAACTGGCCTGCTCTGTGACCCGGGGCAGGTCAGGACCCCTCTCTGAGCCTCCGCTTCCTCATCTATAAAATAAGAGCTTGAATGATGGAGAAGGGTGGAGAGGGGACCAGGAGGGACACAGAGAAGATTCCAGCTCAGGCCTGGGTCGGGGTGGTAGACAGAGCACTAGACCAGGAATCAAGACAGCCCCGTCCCCACCCAGCATTGCCACTTCAGAGCTGTGCGCCCCTGGCAGGGTGCCCACCCCATCGGGACCTGGGGGGTCTGATCTGTAAGGAAATGGGGTGAACCACTTCTGCTGAGACATGGCTGAGGGATTCAGGCACCAGATGGGGATTGGTGTGGGGCAGTGGGGTTGTAGGTGTTCAGGGCTGGGAATGAAGGGGGCACACTGTGCAGGCAGGGTTGGGGCTACTGATCAGACTTCTGGGAAAAGCCGGGTTGGACCCTGGGTGTGTGTGCTTCTTTTCCTTTGTGATTTCTCCTTCTCAACAGACCATTGACTTTCTGAATGACAACATTCGAAGGGGAATCGAGAACTACTATGATGACCTGGACTTCAAAAACATCATGGACTTTGTTCAGAAGCAGGTGAGCCTCCTGTGCCCTTTGCCCCCGATTCAGGACTCTACTCAAGAGGGTGGGGGCAAGGGGTCAGGTGACTTACCCATTCCCATCGCGGGCAGCTAGCCAAGTTGAGAGTTGAGGGCCGGCAGTGGATGGCCCACCGAGGGTGATGAAGCCAGGCCCCAACCTTCTCACCCAGTCCTCTGCCCATGCACCTAGCCCAGGATGTCCTCATCCTACCTGTCCCTCTTCAGTTACATGGACCCTCCTCTGTAAAAAAAAGAACAAGGTCAGTTGTAGCTACAAGCCACTTTAGGGGACCAGGGGCTCTCCCTCCAAAGGCACAGAGCAGGAGAGGGCTCCAGTCTCCAATGGGCAGAGGTCACTCCCTGCAAGTCAAGGACAGACCGATGGGGAGAGAGGTCTTCACCAATCCCAATTTCCCCACGTGGGGGAACAGACAAATCTCCTCTATTTCCTCCATGATACTTCTTTGAATGTGATGATGATCATGAGTTCCCCTGAGACATTGTCCCTCTCCCCCATGTCCACCCGAGTCTGTTGGTGCAATAATAATAGCAGTTATGATGGGCCAGCCACTGTTCTCCTTGGCTTCTACGTATCAGTCTCTTCTAGTCCTGAGCCTCAGGCTCCTCATCTGCATAAGGGGATCATAGGGCTCCTTCTTCTTGGGGCTGTGTGAGGATTACCTTGACTTGGTTCAGCAGAAGTGCTTGGGACCATGCCAGGCACGTAGTAACACCTCAGGAGGCATCAGCTGTGGTGATCACGTTGTTACGATCTGGGTGAGGACAGCAGAGCTGGGGGGCCGCAGGCACCCCCCCTCCCTGCCCCAGCCCCAGCAGCTGCTTCCTGAGACATGACCCTGGCGCTTCAGTTGGCCTGGCCCCTCCAACCTCTCATGAGCTGAAGTCACACGCAGTGGCTACTCCCTTGGCTCAACCCTGAGTTTCCCAGCTCCTGGATGTGGCCACAACAGGTGCGGCCTCTGGAGGCCTTCTCTGCCAGGGACGCGCCCACCAGCTCTGGTCAGCAGAGCCGAGCCCCGCTCTGGGCGGAGCAAGATGTTTTCATAGGAACCAGCCATTCAGCTGGCCTGGGATTTCAGTCTCCCTGGGGTGGGGGTGGAGGATGACTAACACTGGGCTCCTGCTTGGTGCCAGGCCCTGTGCCCGGTGCCTCATCCATGCTCACCACTTCCTGGCAGTCCCTGCATTCTGGATGCTCTGACCTGACAAAGCATGGCCTAATATGCTCCCTCGGGGCCCTGGTGGTGTAGTGGTTAAGAGCTCAGTCGCTAACCAAAAGCTTGGCAGTTCGAATGCTCCAGCCGCTCCGTGGAAACCTTATGGGGCAGTTCTACTCTGTCCTATAGGGTCGCTATAAGTCAAAATCGATTCAGTGGCAGTGGGTTTAATGTGCTCCCTTACAGCTCACCTTATAGTCACCACTGTGATATCCCACCCCGGGGCTGCCCAGCCTTGCTTGCATTCCTCCAAGTGACAGGGTGCTGACCACCTCCTGGGCAGCCCCTGCCATTCTGGATGGCTCTGATCTGACAAAATGTGGCCTAACGTGCTTCCTGTGGCCCCTCCCCACCCATCCATCTCCTGGCAGGGCCCCCTCCTGCTGTCTGACCGGGTGCCTTGGCAATGATGACAGCCCCTCTTTCCTGCTTGCTTCCTTTCTCAGTTTAAGTGCTGTGGTGCGGAAGACTACCGCGACTGGACCAAAAACCAGTACCATGACTGCAATGCCCCCGGGCCTCTGGCCTGTGGGGTGCCCTATACCTGCTGCTTCAGAAACACGGTACCTGCCACTCCTGGACGTGGGGGCATGTTGGGGGCCACCCCAGCTGGTCTCTGAGGACAGAGGTGCTCTGGGTGGGTGGGTGGTGAAAGGGGTAAATGTGGGGGTGCAGTGGGAAGGCCTCGTCTTTATGAGGAGTAGTAGTTAACATCCACAGAGCACTTATCATGTGCTGTTAGTAAGGGCTTTGGCTGTACTGGCTTATTGAGTTCTTACAATGAGGAGGTAGGCACTGTTATTTGACTCACTTTACAGATAAAGAAAGTGAGGCCATGAAAGGTTAGGTGCCTTGCCTGAGGTTGACAGGGCTGGGATGAAACGCAGGCAGCTGCACTCTGGACTACTGTACAAGCCAGGCTCCGGGCGGGAGAGGCCCCAGGCCAGGGAGCTGACTGGGGTGGTTAGCTCTGCAGTGCCAGCCGGAGGGCCAGAGCGGGGCTGGCACTTTGGGGGTCTCCGGTGGCCTTTGGCTTACGGTCTTGGTCCTCATCAGCAACAGGATGCTTGGAAGGGGTTCTGGTGAGCCTGTCCTGTGCAGTCACAGCTTAAAAGCCAGTGGCTTCATCAGTCCTCTGTGTTCGGCTAGTGTGTCCAGAAATTGTCTCGCTTCTGCAGTAGAACGAGGCGGAGAGCTTGGCAATTACTCATGCCCCGGAGAGTCATGGAAAATTTCTCTTCTGAGGTTTCCACCATTCTGTGCCCACTGCCCGTTCTATAGACTGTGCAGCTGCCTGTGGGGGTGGGGGCGGGGGCGGGCCCCGCCCACGCATGCAAGAGCTGGTGCTGAGCACACTAACCCTAAAAAAGGCTGGTGGAGGGGCTGTTCTGGAGATTTTAGCTGCCATTTTAGGATGGCTGTCTGGGCAGCGGGGAGAGCTGGTGAGGAACCGAGGTTTTCAGAGGCCTCTGGAGGGTGATCCTGAACTTAGTCACCCAGGGCAGTAGCGCCTGAATGTCCAAGTTGAGATGTGGAAATTGTATTCATTCATTCAGTCAACAAATGTTTATTGAGCACCTACTATGTGCCAGACACAGTTCGAGTTTCTGGGAACACAGGAAACACACAGAAATCTCTGCCCACGTGGAGCTGTCATTTCCCACATGGGGAAAACTGGCAAACAAAATACAACATATAGCATGTCAGAAGGTGATAAATGCTAAGGAGAAAAATAAAGCAGGTACTTGGAGGATTGTAATGTTAGATACTGAGAAGGTAACTTCTGGGTAAAAAGCTGAAGGAAGTGAGGGTGTGAGCCATGCAGGCATCTGGGGGAGCAGCATGCCTAGGCAGCAAGAACAGCATGTGCAAAGGCCCTGAGGTGGGAATAGTCCCGACCTGGCTGAGAAACAGCATAGAGACCCATGTGGCTGCAGCAGAGTGAGCGTGGAGAAGAGTAGCAGGAGACGAGATTAGAGAAGCCAGGGGTGCTCTGAAGGCCACAGTGAGGACTTTGGCATTGCCTTGAGTGACAGGGAGCCACGCAGGGCTTCAGTGGAGGAGTGACGGGTCTGACTCAGGCTTTACCAGGACCCCCCTGGCTGCTGTGCTGAGAATAGACCGTGGAGGCAGGGGTGGACACACAGAGTTCAGTCAGGAGGCTAGTGCCAGGTGTCACGGTCCTTCAGGAAGCAGACTCTGAGATGCTGGTCAGTATCAGGAGGTTTAGTAGTGGGTGCTCTTGGGATTAACATCTGTGGAAGGCAGGAGACCGAAGCAGGGTTGGGCAGAGGAAGAAGTCCAGCAGTGATGCAGTCTCAAGACGGGCCTCACCAAATCTGTGAGGATGGGCCGAAATGATTCTTCAGAGTTGTCCTGTGTTGGAGCGAGGGGGCTAGGCCTTTATACCGCACGTTGACCAGTCTTGTAGTAGCTACCCGGGAAGGGATTTGCCAGCTCTGCTCAGCAGGAACAATCACCACAGGGCACTGACAGCTAAGGGTCCCTGCTGGCAGCACTCCCAGCAGCTGAAAGGGTCTTCATAGCGTCCGCCACACTGGGTAGGAGAAGTAGAGGCTCAGAGCCAGGTGGAGGTGGTGAAAGTTTTAAAATATGACCAGATTCTGGTTAAGTTTTGAAAGTAACCAGATTTGAAAGTAACCAATAGGATTTGCTGTTGGTCAGATGTGGGAGGTGGGTGAGAGAGAAATCAAGAAGGAGAAGGTTTTGGCCTGAGCCACAGCAAAGGTGGGTCTTCTCACCTGAGTAGGAAAGACTCAGGGAAGGGGAGGAGGGTCAGGAGCTCCCTTGTTGTTGGCTGCCCGTTAGGAGTCTGTCCCAGGAGGCCTCTCTCCCACTTCTCTTGGGTGCTCAGACCCTGGAGAACCCAGCCTAGCCATCCTGTGTCTCAGGGGAGAGGAGGCACACATGAATAACCCTTGTGAGCTCCAGTGTGTCGAGTTTTTTGGCTGCTCAGGAGTCCCCTGTATGATGTCCTGTCTCGTGGTCCTGGGCCAGATGAAGAGGCCACTGGACAGGTGATCTCAGCACTTTCTGTAGAACGTGACTCTGTGGTCAAACGCAGGCAAGTTACCTTTGGAAGGACCATGGATGCATGGTGCACTGTGGTGGTGGGGGGTTTCCTGGCAGGGGAGGTGACTCCTCCCGGGCGACAGAGTAGGGTTCAGGCTCTCCAGGTAAGGGAAGGCCTCTGCACCAGTTGTGGATCTGTAGGGAGACTCGGCGCTCCCTGAGGGCAGGGACTGATTCAGCCTCCAGGGCTGGCACAGTGAAGTAACTCTAGTGTTTCTTGTCACCTTCTTACATACTGTGTTGTTCATTTATTTATTATGTTAATTGTTCATTTTCTGTCTCCCTTGCTAGAATATAAGTTCCATAAGACAGGGACTTTATTTTATTCTCCTATATTCCAAGTGCCAAAAATAGTACTCAATATTTATTGAATAAATGAATGAATGGATGAATAAACGAATGAGGCAGAAAGTGCCCACTGCCATCCTGCCCTCATGCACGGTGTCCCCCAGTCCTGACTCCATGACGGTCATGGTCACAGTCTGGAGGGGTCTGGGAGGTCAGTGCCACCAAAGCTGACTACCAAGTGGGTGCTGGGCATTGCTGGGTCTGAGGGCACCTGGGTGGCAGTCTAGACTAAGGGAGGTTATTTGCCCAAAAACCAAGCCCTGACATTTAGCATGATCTGATGACGTCTGAAGCCCAGTCTGCTCTTGGAGGGAGCCCTTCCTTGCCCTTCCTAGGGCTGGGATGGAGAACAGAGTCGTCGATGAGCCCAGCCCTGTGATAGCACCCTGTGCGTGCATGTCACAGAACAGCCCCCTGTGGTGGGGTCACTGATCGTCACTGCTTTATAGAAGAGACTGAGGACCCTCTTACTCATTCAACAAATATTTATTGAGTCCCTCCCCTGTGCTGGCCCCTTGGTAGCACACCTGAGGTCGATCACAGAGGTAGTAAGGGGCAGAGCAGGATCTGCACCCAGGACACTTGATGCCAGCGGCCACACTGGCCACTCTGCTATTGCTCTCAAGGACATCTCTGGCACCCATGGCACCCTAACCCACAGCAGCTTTCACTCAGATGTGGAGGGGCAGGGGCAGTGGGCTCGCTCATGTTATAGATAGGGAAGGAGACCCCGGGGGATAGGGAGGGACAGGAAGTGCCCCTGCCAGCCTATGATTTAGGACCTGGCTGGGTAGGGATTTGACGGGGTTGGTGGCTGCTTCCCTGGGGCCTGACCGTGGCTTTCCCTGAGTGTAGATTAGTGAGCAGCTGGGAGTCCCAGAGAGGTCCCTCTTCCCAGGAAGGAATGTCAGGCAGAACTCTCCACTGCCCTCTGAGTGGGCGACTATCTGCAAAGCGTAGCCAGGGACGCTGTTCGCAACTTTAGGTAAACCACAGCTGGCTCGGCACCCAGCTGTGGCCTGAGATTTTTCTTCCGAGGAACCAGCGGAGCAGCAACTGCCCCGCCCCAATCTCTGAGATGGTGGATGCCATGTCAGAAAAGCAGCAGCTTAGGGTGGCAATGGCTGGGCCTGGGGCAGCATGCTCTTCTCTGGGTCCCTGGTGGCTGCTCGTGGAGCAGTGGCCCTCCCTGCCAAGTGCCAGGGGCTCAGCCACCACCTCATGCTTCCTCCCTGGGCATTTCTTGGAAAGGGGAGGTTGAGCTGCAGACTCTGGAGCCAGACTGCCAGGGTCAGAAATTTCAGCTTGACGCTGGCCCTGTGACTTTGGACAGTGCATCTCATTGAGCCTCAGTTCTTTCATCTGTAAAATGGGGAGAACAGTAGTGTTAGCTATTTTACCATTTCTGTTTCAGACAGAAGTCGTCAATACGATGTGTGGCTACAAAACTGTGGACAAGGAGGTAATGTCTCTGAATCCCTTTCCCCGGGAAGTGTTGCTTTTCTTGTCCCACCCCCACAGTATCAAAGGGGCTCTAAGGGGCGAGGCTCCTGAGATTTCCCAACATTCCCAGTTGTAAAGAGGAGCCAGGGGATGCTGGGGTTTTCCACCCCTACCGAGACCCAGAAGGGCTCAGGGAGCAGGAGCCCTCCAGGCTGGGAAAGGCCATCTGCTGAGCACCTACCACGGGCTTACTTATGGGAGCTCAGGAATGCCCGCGTGCCCAGCTGTGCTCAGCGCCAGCCTGCCCTGCCCTGGGAGCCTCCAGTCTGCAGACAGCTCGGCTCAAATTGGTTCCCTCAGCGTGGGACCCAGGAGCCCCTGGAGGACAGTGACCCCTCTTGGGAGGCCTCCTGTGTCAGCCTCCTGGGTCACTCCCCTGGATGAGGAGAGATGCTTGGGGTGGTGCTGAGAAGGGAAACTAAAGATACTGATGACCTAGAGATGCCTCAGAGTAGTGGTTCTCAAAATGCGGTCCCCGGACCAGCAGCATCAACTGGGAACTTGTTAGAGATGCTTGCCCCAGACCTCCCGAATCAGAACCTTTTGGGGTGGGGCCTGGCAGGTCATTCTGATGCACATTAAAGTTTGGGGACCACAGGCCAGCAGGGGTTCTCAATCTACCAGACCAACAACCATTTTTATAATAAATACAGTGAAACCTGTAAGAGTTGGAACTCAACTGGGCTGCCTTGTTTTTCCAGGTCTCACAAGTTTTCTGCCTCTGACAGGGTGCAGTTTTACCACTTTTCTATCGTTCCTTTTAGTGGAAAATATTTGAGTTTTCCTTCTCTGACAGTTTCCTACCTCACACAGGTTCTGGCTTTTGCAGGTTGTACTGTACTTGGTAATGCCTTATTTGGAGTCCCTGGGTGGTGCAATGGTTAATATGCTTGGCTGCTAACAGAAATGTTGAAGGTTTGAGTCCACTCAGAGGTGCCTTGGAAGAAAGGCCTGGTGATCTACTTCCAAAAAATCAGCCACTGAAACCCTGTGGAACACAGGTTTATTCTGACACACATACGGTTGCTATGAGTCAGAATCAACTTCACGGCAACTGTTTTTTTATTACCTACGTACACGCCTAATTTTGAAAGTAATCAACATAATGAAAAAAAGAGAAATCAAATAAAACAATTTACCATTATAGAATATATTTCCGTATGTAAATGCTCAGGCACTAGACAGATACAGCAGGAGACAATGAAGTCATCAAATGTTTGCACCTGTATGAATTCCTGAGTCCAGCAGCTGCAGAGGCAGCTGATATGGGGGCTTGTGTCAGTAACTCACATACATGGGCATCATTTTTGCTGGAGAACAACTCTTCATGAAGTTCTGAACAAAATAAAGTACAACCATTCATGAATTTACATACTATTTCTGGAAAATTCAGTGCATATTAAAACCATGCAGAAAATTCTTTGGTTTTTATGTATACTTGGAGTTAGTCTTTTGGCTCTGATAATTATAATTAGGTTGTCACCCACGTGAATGTCTGGGGGCATCTGAGGGGCATGCAGGGAGGGCTGTTGCTGGTGGAGTAGGATCGCCCTGAGCTCTGCAGTCCCTTAGCCCCCAACCCCAATTGTTGTGACAACCAAAAGTGCCATTACAGATATCCAGAATGCTCCCTCTCACGTAGCTTTGAGGGGACTAGGCTCAGAGAGGCTAAGGGGCTTGCCTGACCTCCAGTGAGTGGCAGAGTCAGGACTAGGGCTCTGGCGGGGGTGCTCAGCCAGACCCACCAGGCTCCGCACCCTGCCCTCCTCTCTGTGCAGCGCCTCAGCGTACAGAACATCATCTATGTGCGGGGCTGCACCAACGCCGTGCTCATCTGGCTCATGGACAACTACGCTATCATGGCGGGTATCCTTCTGGGCATCCTGCTCCCTCAGGTGGGCCGGCGCCCTCCCCTTCCTACAGGGAGGGGAGCGAGAAGTGGGGGTGGTGGGCAGGCTGTGGGTTCAGATAAAGCGCAGCTTGCTGGTGATGAGGGAAGTACACAGAAGGTACAGACAGAGAGCCAGGGTGAGGAAGGTTCTTGTACCAGCAGTCTGGGCTGATCTTGGGAGGGCTGGAGGGTTTGAAGACGAGGGTGAATGGCAATAGCACTGCTTACTGTGCAATGCCTCACAGGCACTGTCTCCTCAGTTCTCTCTGTGAGGTAGGTGCTATTCTAATGCCCATTTTACAGAGGAGGAAACTGAGGCTAAGCAAGGTCCCCGGATAGTGAGTGGCAGAGTTGAGGTGGAGGCAGGAATCCCTGAATAGAGGGGCTTCTGCTGATGGGGAACAGAAAAGCTCTCTGGGATTTCCCCGGAGGGGTGGAAGAGGGTCCAGGCTGGGGCTACTTGGGCAGGGGGTTGCTGGGGAGAAGTCTGCCCTGGGGGATTTCCCTGTCACCTAGTGCAGTAACAGGCCCTCAACAGCCCTGCTCCTTCTCAGTTCCTGGGGGTGCTGCTGACGCTCCTGTACATCACCCGGGTGGAGGACGCCATCCAGGAATGCTCTGCCACCGACGGGCTCCTGGGACCCGGCGCCAGTCCCGGCGTGGAGGCAGCCAGCGCCGGGTGCTGCATGTGCTACCCCAACTAGCGCCTCCCTGGACCTCCGCAGGGACAGCGGCTCGCGCAGAATCGCGCCACGGCCGCACCTCTCGGTCCCGATGAGGACTGGACAGGACTGTGGCCCTCTCCCCACACTGACCAAAGTCCAGCGGTGTTTTCCGGGTGCCTGGGCTGCTTGTGGGGCCCACCCGCGGCCACAGCGTCGCCAGGGGGCGGGGCCTGCGTCCCCTCTCCCAGAACCTCAGCTGCCCCACCGGATTCCGCCCCAGGAACGTCACCTCCCTTCCTACTGGGGAGGGGAACGAAAAGGGGCTTGGGAACAGGGAGCTCAGGGTTATGCTCAGGGCTAATTTCCGGCAGTGCCTTGCCCGGGCGCGGGTATTTATGCCCCGTTAAGGGCAGTTGCCTAGTGATTTGTAAACAGGGAGAGAGAAGAGTGTGTGTAACCCGCTGCGGAAGGAGGGGGCTCAGCTCGGGGGCCACCAGCCCCTTGGCCGCGCCCAGGGGTGGATTATCCAATAGGCAAGGTAAGCACGGTGCTTGCCTTGCTTACCAGATCATCTGTAGTGATACCGTTCACTACAGATTAGTAAGTAAGCACAAGTAAGCCCGTGCTTACCTCGCTTACTGGGTCATCCGCCCCTGTCAGGGATTGTAAATTTGAAAAGAGACGTTGATTCTGTAGGAAGGTGCTGTGGGGTTGGGAGAGAGACAGATGCCAGCCATACCTAGAAGCAGAATCTTTGATGTGGTGAAAAAAATGTGAAATTGTTAGCTACAGTTGAGCTGATAAGCAAGGTAAGCACATGTTGACCTTGCCTATTGGATAATCTGCCCCTGGCCACCCCCCAGAGGTGGGCTGGCGTTTCTCTGCCTCCCCGGTGACTTGATCCTATTTTTTATGTGATTTTTTTTAACATTCATGTTTTTACACAGTTAACAGGAGTTTCTGACTAATCAAACCTGGATATTTCCTTCCCTGTAAGTCCCATTCTTGCCCCTTCAAACCAGCTGATTAATCAACAATAAATACATGATTTTTTTTTTTTTTTTTGGTCTGTCTTTTGTGCTCTTTGGGTGCGGATGGGGTGAGGAAGCTCTCAACCTTGGCTTGGAAACCCCTTGTTGGTGCAAGAGCTAGAGGGTGGGCACGCTCAGGTGGAGATTTGGGACAGATTGGGACAGTGAGACGCTGGAGATGAGCAAGCTGAGGGTGCCTGCTCCTGGTGTGGGACGGTCTCTCCCATTCTTCGGTGTTGCCACTTAAGGAAATGGCTTTTTCCAGCTGCGTTTGTGGCCAGCCCAGGGCCGCCCGCGCTGCCCTGCCCTCTAGGAATTCACTTGTGGGACACCTCAGGGGAGGAGGCAAGTGGGAAACAGAGGCTCGGCAAGGTATGGCACGAGTTTCCTCATCTGGAAAGTGGGGCAGATGGGTCCTGAAAGGAGCCCCAAACCAAAAAACCAAACCCGTTGCCATGGACTTGATTGATTCCGACTATAGTGACCTTATAGGAGCAGTGCCCGCAAATGTACCTGTGGCTTTAGGACCACTGACTCTCCTAACAGTAAGCTGTTTATGTACCTAGAGGCTGGGGCTGGCCATACCTATACGCAACGCCAAGCAAAGCTCAGCACTGATCGCCCCCTGCTGGAGATGGTAGGACGTGCATGCTTCAGTCATCCTGGCAGGGCTGGGGGGCTGGAATGAGGGTGAACGGCAATAGGATCGTTTACTGAGCTGGTACACGTACCTCACAGGCACTGTCTCCTAAGGTCTCTCTATGAGGTAGGTGCTATTGTCATGCCTTTGGTAGCTTCTTAGTAGCCAGGTCCATAGAAATAAAACATCAAGAGCCCCAAACCTGAAGAGTTCAATATAAAAGCAGGAAGTGCCCATCACACTCAGAAGTTAAGTGTGGGATGCTCAGTCTGCCATGTGTACAGGCCTGAGTTGTCTCATCTGAGGTAAGGAAGGGCAGAAGAGGAATTTTAAAAAGGATACAATAATGCAACAATAGTAAACACATTGTAGAGCATACTTCGTGCCAGGAACTCAAGTATTTTATAAATATTAACTTCTTTAATCCTCACAGCTGTACTTGATAACTCTTGTTATCTCCGTTCTGTTGATGGGAAAACAGGCACAGAGCGGTTAAGTAACTTGCCCAAGGCGCACGGCTGGTAAGTGGCAAAGCCATGACTTGAACCCAGGTGAAATCTCACTGGGCACCCAGCCTCTCCGCTCGACACGGGTCTACACCGTGCAGGCACTGGACGTGCAAAAGCAGGGGCGACTGCAGCTGCTTCTCTGGCTCTCCCGATGGGACAGCCACTGCAGCCGCTGCCTGGTTCACATTTGACCTTACGGGCTCAGAGCAGTCTGGCCCTCTGGCCCTGGCTGTTCTCTGAGGAGTCTCTCTGTGTCCAGAGGGAAGAGGGCAGCTACCTTTGAGGTAGCAAGGTGGCAGAGGCGCTGACGGGCGTTTGGGACGGCACTGAGTCTGCTTATCCAAAGTCACAGTCCCCTGAAGCGGGAAACCTCTGAGTGGCTCCTTGCACACTGCCCTGGTGGCTGCTTCTGTGGACCGGGGCTCATGGTTGTGCCTACTGACATTGAGTTCAGTGGACACTATCTTATCTTTTGCTTCCAAACCTCGGTCACTCAGCTCTCCAGAAAGCAAGACAGAACACGTGGAGCGGACTTTTCCAGCCTTGTCGTTGGGGACTCCCTGCTATTGCAACCTTTTGTGCTTCAAAGCCGACGACACCATCTTGACACCTCTTATCACAGAGACAGAAGAATGACCCTTGAAACTAGTCCTTTTTCCACACCGGGACACACACAGAAAGTGACAATATGTGTGTGGCTCACTGCAGGAAACCAGGGGGGATTAGTGGGCTTCGAGCTTGGACTTTTCCTGTTATATAATTATAATAAAAATAAACCAATAGAACATGTTAGGGGATAAGCTGTGTATAGAAATCCCAAATACATAGTGGTGATAGTTGCACAGTGTGATGAATGTAATTTATGTCACTGAACTGTCCACTTAGGAGTGGATGAAAGCAAATTTTTTGTGATGTATTTTACCACAACAAGAAAATCCAAACATAATGTTCTAAAATTTTATTTTTTCGGTGAGTAGTGTCTGGGGTCTTAAAAGCTTGTGAGTGGCCAAGATATTCTGTTAGTCCCACCCTGTCTGGAGCAAGGGAGAATGAAGGAAACCAAAGACAAAAGGGAAAGATTAGTCCAAAGGACTAATGGACCACAACTACCACAGCCTCCACCAGACTGAGTTCAGCACAACTAGATGGTGCCCGGCTACCACCACTGACTGCCCTGACAGGGAACACAATATAGGGTCCCTGGAGAAAAATGTAGAACAAAATTCTAACTCACAAAAAAAAAAGACCAGACTTACTGGTCTGACAGGGACTGGAGAAACCCTGAAAGTATGGCCCCCAGACGCCCTTTTAACTCAGTACTGAAGTCACTCCTGAAGTTCACCCTTCAGCCAAAGATTAGACAAGCCCATAAAACAAAAAGAGAGTAAATGGGCACACCAGCCCAGGGGCAAGGACGAGCAGGCAGGAGGGGATGGGCAAGCTGGTAACAGGGAACCCAAGGTCCAGAAGGGGAGAGTGCGGGCACGTCATGGGGTTGGCAACTAATGTCACAAAACAGTATGTGTATTAATTGTTTAATGAGAAACTAATTTACTCTGTAAACCTTCATTTAAAGCACAATAAAATAAGTAAATAAAATTTTATTTTTATGATATACCTGACATACAGCAAACCGCACATATTTAAAGTGACAAATGTGGACACATCATCACAATCAAGATAGTGGACACATCCATCATCCTCAAAAGTTCCCTTGTGCCCCTTGGCAAGTCCTTCCCCACCTCTCCGTGACCCATCTAGCCATCTCTAGGCAACTGCTAATCTTTCTGTCACATTTTCTAGAATTTTACAGGAGTGGACTCATACAGTATGGACTCTCTTATTTTTTGTCTAGCTCCTTTTTTTCAACCTAATTATTTTGATATTCATTCATGTTGTAGCATGTATCAATAGTCATTCCTTTAAAAAAAATAAAGTGCATAGTTTATTCAGATTTCCTTCATTTTCACCGAATGTCTTTTTCTGTTCCAGATGCCGTCTAGGATCCCACATTACATTTATTTGTCATCTCTTCTTAGGCTCCTCTTGGCTGTAACAGTTTCTCAGGTTTCCCTTGTTTTTGATGAACTTGATGGTTTTGAGGAATTCTGGTCAAGTATTTTGTGGGATATCGCAATGATCATGAAGATGGCCCAGGGCCAGGTAATGTTTCATTGTCATACGTGAGGTCGCCAGGAGTCGAAGCCGACTTAATGGCAACCAACAACACAATTCCTGATGTGGCTAATTGATCTTCTTTCTCTTTTCCCTAATCAGTCTAGCTAACCGTTTATCAATTGTACTGATCTGCCAAAGAACCAGCTGATCATTCTCAGGAACATGCGAACAAGCTGTTAACTACTCCGAGTTTTTGTAATTAATATTTTATTTTATTTTTGGTGAAAACATACACAGCAACACCCGCTTCGATTCCACAGTTTCTAGACGTCAGGATCAGTGTTATGGGTTACATTCTTTACATTGTGTCTGTTCTAGTTGTTTCATTTCCATTAACTCAAACTCCCTGCCTGCAACCTTCTCATCTATGCTCTAGAATAGCTGTGTACTACTCCTGTCTGAACAAACACCAAGCGGATCTCTGTTGACCTTCATCCCTCCTCTAGCCATTGCCCTCTGTCTCTCTTTCCCTTCACAGCAACCACTTTGAAAGAGTACCTACACTGTCTCTGATTTCTCTCCCTTCATTTCACTCTTGAACCTCCCTAATTAGATTCTTGTCCCCATCTCACCACCCAAACTGCTCCTATCAAGGTGACCAGTGACCTCCACGCTGCTAAATCCAATATTCTAATGTCGCTCATCTTACTGACCTGTCTGCAACACTTGACCACTCCCCCTCCTTGAAGACATCTCACACCTAAAACGTCCCATCTAATTCTTGATATTCCTCTTCCAAAACCTGTTCCTACAGCATCTTCCCAATGTTAGGAAATATCCACTTCATCCTTCTGGTCGCTTAGAACAAAAACCTTGGAGTCATTCTGGACTTTTCTGCCTCATCCCATCCACTAGCAAATCCTGTCAGCTCCCCCTTCAGGACATATCCAGAATGTTCTCTCCACCAAGCCACCCTCATCTCTCACCTGGATCAATCTCATGGCCTCCCAGCTGGCCTCCCTGGTGTCTGTTCTCTACCCAGCCACCTGAGTGATCCTGTTACAACATTCTGCCAGATCAGACCTCTATTTTTGCTCAAAGCCCTCCAATGGCTTCTGTCAAGCCAGGGTCCAAGGTCACCAAAAAAAAACATGAATCACACATAGGCAGTGTGTGGAACAATGCTTTACTTGCATAGAGTAGAGACAGCTTTGCCAGCAGGCACTGGTCCACCATGGCTAACGAGTCACTTCCCATGGTCAGCCCAGGGCAGTTGTTGTGCACACACCCTTCTTCTGCTGC